CAAGGGGGTTGGAGTAGGTGACCTCTAGGATAACTTCTAACTGTGTCCAGAAACTGGTCTCCTTTCAGAGAGTTTTTCTGCCCTAAGTGTTAGCTTTCTTGACTGTAGAAGTCATCACACACACCCCACCTGCCGGTTTGTTATCTGAGTTGTTGCTTAGGCTGGCAGAAGTGATTAACTTGCAGCAGCTGAGAACTGTCCTCTAAAGTGGTGGACAGCTTGCCATTGAGAGTTCTATCCCGGTCACAGCTTTCAACTGGCTAAAGGATTCAGAATGCCTATGTAGAACAGACAGCTTGGGAAGACTCAGAATCCCGGCTTTCCTTTCTGCACTGAGAACTTCAGCCCCACCAGAAAAAAAAAACTATTTCCCCACCAGCCACAGAGTCCCGGCTGCAGGCTCGGAGCTTAACATGGTCTGGGAGCAAGACTGCATCTGGCTGGGGGCTTCCCGGCCAGGGCCAGCACCCGCTTCTCCACCATGGTGCACTCCACGTCGTCGTCCTGGATGACCACGTCCTTCTTCAGGATCTTCACGGCGTAGAGCTCGTCCGTGCCTTTCCGTTCGGACAGCATCACCTGGAGAACAGAGGCAGGAGCGGGAGAACGACTGAGAACAGAGGTCCATCAGTGGCTATTAGCCCCAAGGTATAGATAGGGGCTCTGGGGCAAGTGATGCTCTGTCTTCTTGGTGCTTGGGGGGGGGCAACAGTGGGAGGGCTTCTAGTGTCCTGGCCCCACTGCTGGACCTCCTGATGGCACCTGGTATTTTTGGCCACTGTGTGACAGAGTGTTGGACTGGATGGGCATTTGGCCTGATCCAACATTGGCATCTCTTATGTTCTTAACATGCGAGTTCCGGCCTGTGCCCACACTGTGCCCTAAACGCCGTAGGGGGGAGGACAACCAGTGTTCCCTCTAAGCCAGCTCACAGTTTTTTAGCCTCAGGCTCACACCTATTTGTCTCAGCTCAGGGAGAAGGGCTCCAGAGCAAACGAATCTATGCAGTAGCCAAATCGCTTGCTCACAACTTTAAGGCCAGGAGCTCACAAGGAAGAATTCTTACTCACAAGACTCCATAGCTTAGAGGGAGCATTGCTCGCACGACACAAGGCAGAGGGTGTTGCAGGGGCTGAGGAGGCTCCCGGCCTTCAGCGGCACAGGAGGGGACCGGGGTGCCCTTTGGGACCTGTAGCTTGGGGCTAAGCGGCAGTAGGAGTTCCTTTCTTGGGGGAAGGAAGGACAAGACCCCCCGAACCAGCCCCGCAATCACCCCTTTTCCCTCTTGACCGCCAAACCCTACAAGCACGCAGGCTTCCCTCCTGAGGTCTGGGCACCTCTCAGACTCTTAACATAGAATCACAGAATCTTAGAGTTGGAAGGGACCTTGCAGGTCATCTAGTCCAACCCCTGGCACTCTGCAGGAGCACAGCTGAAAGACGGCCCTACAACACCCCAGAAAGATGGCCGTCCAGCCTCCGCTTGAAAACATCCAGCGAAGGAGCATCTGCCACCTCCCGAGGCAGTCTGTTCCACTGCTCAACCACTCTGACAGTCAGGAAGTTTCTCCTGATATTTAGCCGGTATCGACTCCCTTGTGATTTCCACCCATTAGATCCAATCTTGCAATCCGGAGCAAGAGAGAAGAGATCTGCTCCCTCTTCTACATGACAGCCCTTCAAATACTTGAAGACTGCAATCGTGTCCCCTCTAAGCCTTCTCTTTCCCAGGCTATACATACCCAACTCTTTCAGCCTTTCCTCATAAGACTTGGATTCCAACCCTCTCACCACCCTGGTTGCCCTCTTCTGGACACGTTCGAGCTTGTCAACATCCTTCCTAACATGGCAACATTGCTCAGGGCATCTGTTGGGGTTCTGTTTTAGACAGAGGCTGGGATCCCAAAGACAAGAGCCACTCCATGCCGAAGCTTTAAAAAAACCCTGACTTTACTGCAGAAAACAAGGGAATGGCACTTTGGATAAAAGAAATGAAAGGCTACGTACTTGGCAGCTGCCTACATCCTATCAGGTACATGGCTCACAGATGGCTCTTTTGTGTCCTTGTTGCTGAACACAAAGAGCCATAAACTTGGGGATACATGATCAAAGCGTTTCCACAAACAAGATGCTAGCTGACCAATGCAAAAGGCTACAGGTCACTTTGCTCGGATAAACAACCCCCACAAACTCCCCACCTTGGCTAAACATTCCTCTTACAGGCTATGGGTCACGAGAACAAAATTGGAGTCCAGTGGGCACCTTTAAGACCAACAAAGGTTTATTCATGGTATGAGCTTTTGTGTGCAAGGCACACTTTTTGGAATACACTGGGAAGGAAGATGAGGTTCTAAACTTACAGACAGGGACTTAACGGCAAATTAACATGTAACATGATGATGTTTAAGATGTGCAAAGTGAAAAACTAAATAACAAGTCAAGGTGATACGGTCAACAGCTGCAAAGCAATAAATATGTCAAAATAGCCGATAAATGTCTAAGGGTGGTTTTTTTCTAATTCAGGGAAGTGACAGAATCTCAATTATCTCCTCTCAGGCTGGAGGGAACCTAACAGCATATTTTGAGCTGGCTATAGGTCAGATAAGGTAACATCCTGTTAACTAACAACATTTAACTCCATAGTGACTGAATTGTGTTTTAACATAGAGAATCGGGGCTCAGGCCAAACTTCTAGGCAGCCGACAGAACTCACTCATCCTGAGCAGGGCTCATCGGGCTCCAGAAGCAGCAGCAGTAGCAGAAAAGTTGGTTTTTATGACTCGCTTTTCCATCCCAACTGCATCAGCCAAGGGACTCTGGCGCAGGGACCATTGCCCCTCAAAAGCTCCTACCCCGAAAATGCCGTTGGTCTCTTAAGGTGCTCCTGTACTCGAAATCTAGCTCCTCTATTCCAGATCAACCTGGCCACCCTCCCATAATTTTAATTCTGCCCTTCCACCCAGGAGCCCAGGTCAGAGGGTGTCATCCTCACCTTCTCAGTTTTGCCCCACAACAGCCCTGTAAGGTAGGCCAGGCTGCTGAGCTCAACGGCAGAGTGAGGATTCGAACCTGCGCCTCCCGAGTACCGGTCCAACACGCGAACTACTAGACCGTGCTGCCTATCGCGCAGCGAAGGAGGCAAAAGCTGCTACTGCCCCCAGGGAGGCACCGGAGAAAGGTGCAAGATGGAGAGGAGGGGAGGGGGGGAGCTCACTTGGGGATTGTGAGGAAGCCGGTTGAACCAGGTAGCTAGATCCTTGGCTGAGCGGCTGCTTTGTGAAGAAGAAGAAGAGAAGAGATTGGGTTTGTACCCTGCCCTTCAATTGGAGTCTCAGAGCGGCTCCCAAACTCCTTTCCCTTCCCCTCCCCACAACAGACACCCTGTGAGGTAGGTGGGGCTGAGAGAGCTCTGACAGAAACTGCTCTTTTCCCAAGAACAGCTCTTATCAGAACTACGGCTTGCCCAAGGTCATCCAGCAGGCGCAAGTGGAGGAGTGGGGACTCAAACCCGGTTCTCCCAGGTTAGAGTCCGCGCACTTAACCACTACACCAAACTGGCTCTCAGTGGGCAGAAGGTCCCAGAAGGTCCCAGGTTGAGTCCTGACGTCTCCCCTTAAGCAGGAGCCAGGAAAGACCCTCTTTTCCACCTGCGGCCTTGGAGAACGGAGGCTAGTTAGGGGGAGACCAGATGGAGCTAGATGGACTCATAGTCTGACTCTGCCCCAGTCGGCTTTGCATGCCTGGACACGAAGGTGTAGTGCTGGATCTAAGCTGGCCTACAGATGGAGGCAGGATACCTCTGGAGGGCCAGACACAAGGACAGACTTCACAAGGACGGACCACACCAGGCTGGGGTAGCAGTTAAGTGTGCGGACCTCCAATCTGGGAGAACCGGGTTTGATTCCCCACTCCTCCACTCACAGCTGCTGGATGACCTTGGGCAAGCCATAGTTCTGTCAGGGCCGATCTCTCAAGGGCAGTCCTCAAAAGAGCACTCTCAGCTCCGCCTACCTCACAGGGTTTCTGTTGTGGGGAGGGGAAGGGAAAGGAGATTGTAAGCCGTTCTGAGACTCCGAGTGAAGGGTGGGATATAAATCCAGTCTTCTTCCTCCTCCTCTTCTTCCTTCTTCTTCTTCTCTGAGACTCCCAGTGAAGGGTGGTGTATAAATCCAATCTCCTCCTCCTCCTCTTCTTCTTCTCTGAGACTCCAAGTGAAGGGTGGGGTATAAATCCAATCTCCTCCTCCTCCTCTTCTTCCTTCTTCTTCTTCTCTGAGACTCCAAGTGAAGGGTGGGGTATAAATCCCATCTCCTCCTCCTCCTCCCAGGCCCTGGGATTCAGCCGTGCCTCCAGCAATGCGAGCACTTTTTCTCTCGCGCCAAATAACTCATCCTCCTAATATTTTAAACCGGTTGTGGCGACCCGCCGACTTATTTATCGTAATACACTCCAGCCGCCCAGCTCTCCTGCCAGCGCAATTCTCTGTCGTTCATCAAACCGAGCCGAAGGGAGGCCGTGGAAAAACACCGAGGGCACCCTGCCAATTATTAAGACACATGGCTTCAATTTGCGGTGGGATCGCTTCCGAAATAAACACGCCTGTCCCGCCGCCCGCTCCCCCGAGTTAAAATCGACACGTTCCTCGGAAAATGAATCCTTTCGCAAGGCGCTGGCTCGGAAGGGGCTCCGTGATGCATGGCCGGCCTTCCGAGCGGGAGCCAGCTTTCAGGCTGCAGAGGAAAAGGAGCCCAGGACAGATGTGCGGGTGTCATCCAGGTTGATTATGCCCAGCCAGGCAGCCTCCCAGCTTCCCCGAGCCCCGGAGGTCACCAATTCCGGCTCGGCCTTGACCTGGGCAGGAGTAAGTCACCCTCTGCTCTGTCCAGCTAGAACACAGCCTTATACTGAACCAGACCATCAATTCATCAAGGTCAGTGTTGTCCATTCAGACTGGCTCTCCGGGGTCTCAGGCGGAGGTCTCTCCCATCACCTCCTGCCTGGTCCTTTTTAACTGGAGATGCTGCCGGGGACTGAACCTGGGACCTCCTGCATGCCAAGCAGAGGCTCTGCCACTGAGCCAGAGCCCCTCTTGACCGCTCTCCAGGGTCTCAGGCAGAGAAAGGTCTTTCCAATCTCGTCCTGCCTGGTCCTTTTAACTGGAGATGCTGCCGGGGATTGAACCTGGGACCTTCTGCCTGCCAAGCAAAGCCTCTGCCACTGAGCCACAGCCCCTCTTGACAGCTCTCCAGGTTCTCAGGCGGAGGTGTTTCCCATCACCTCCTGCCTGGTCCCTTTTAACTGGAGATGCTGCCGGGGATCAAACCTGGGACCTCCTGCATGCCAAGCAGAGGCTCTGCCACTGTGCCACAGCCCCTCTTGACAGCTCTCCAGGGTCTCAGGCAGAGAAAGGTCTTTCCCATCTCCTCCTGGTCCTTTTTAACTG